ATGAACGGCCCAATTACGCAAAGGGCCACGACCCTTTGAAAATAATCAATAAAACATAATACATAGATTCGTAACTTATGTCCTCATTAGAATTCCCATTACTCGAATACATACGGAATTGAAATAAAATAAAATTCGCCCGACCCAAATAAAAAATAAAATTCTTAACAAGAAAGATATCGCGAAGCTAACTCGACCCTCTGAATTTTACGATTTTTTTTCTTTATTTGTTAAATTAGGAAAATGACGTTTCTTTCGACTTTCTATTTGAGTGGTCCAGGTGTTTTCCGTGTTACCATTCTTTGTTTTTGCCATGTTTTTCCCCGGCTACTTTTATTCTTTTGTGTTTACTAATTATTGAAAACGTCATTATCAATACGAGCGTCTATGTCAAAAAAATTTCTTATTTCGATATATTAAATCAATTTAATCACTGTCCGATCAATAGTGCCGCCTCTTCCTATTCTATATGTTTCTATATTCCTTCATTTGTACTATGGAGAAGATCATGGATGCGCGAGACAAGTAGGTTGCCCGCAAAACTAGGTTATCTTAGCCCAAGATTATGGATTGCCTTTTAGTATCCGAACAAGAACGCTCTATAAAACTCCTGAAGTCTCGGATGTTTTTTTGATCCACATGATATATATTTATATATAAAATGACATAAATAATTTCTTAACTTTGGCTCAATATGCAATGCAGTCCATGAACTTTTAGTGTAGTGTTTGAACTTTAGTTTAATATTTAATGTGGTCCATGAACTTTTAATTTGTATAATGTCGTCCCTGAATTTTTGGTACATGTTCAATTTAGTCTTTGAACTATATGAAAATGTTCAATGTATTTTACATTGAACATTTTCATATAGTTCAAGAATTACATTGAATATGTACCAAAAGCCCAGGGATCATACTGAACAAATTAAAAGTTCAAAGATCACATTGCAAATTGGATTAAAGTTCAGGGATCACATTACACATTGGGCCAAAGTTCACGGACTGTTTGGTTCATTTTCCGCGTATATGAAGATTGTCATTTCCATCTGATTGCATTTCCGTTATTGCCCTTGTGATTTGCTGAAATGACACCTAAGCCCCCGTCTCTCCGAGGTCCATGCATTTTCTTCAGTTTTCCCGCGAAAATCTCGACTATAACCACGCAACACACCTCATCCCCCCCTCCCCGCCTCTCTCTCTCTCTCTCTCTCTCTCTCTCCTCTCTGCCTCTCGCGAAATCGAACGACGGACCACCGCTCGCCGCCGCGATCCTCCGCCCCCTCCCTGATCCCTTCCGCCCTGAACATCTCCGATCTCCGCCGCCCTGAATCGGAGCCGCCGCCGCCGCCGCCATCTCCTATTTCTCTCTCGCTCGCGCGCCCGCAGGCGCTCGCCTCCGCGGACTCCACCACGCCTGGACTCCGCCATGGGAGATGAATAGAATCATACACTCCTCCACCTCCAAATTCCGCCACTTCCACCGCCACCGCCGCCCTCCCTCCTCCGCCTCCGCCGCCTCCGCCTCCTATTACCTCCTATGGCGCCACCGCATCCTCGAGCCGGACGGCGAGATCGTGACGCACTGGAACCATGTCTTCCTCGTCACCTGCCTCATCGCCCTCTTCATCGACCCTCTCTACTTCTATCTCCCCTCCGTCGGCGGCCCCGTGTGCCTCGAGACCGACACCTCCCTCAAGGTCACGGTCACCGTCTTACGCACGGTCGCCGACCTCTTCTACCTGCTGCACATGATCATGAAGTTCAGGACCGCCTTCGTCGCGCCGAGCTCTAGGGTTTTCGGCAGGGGCGACCTCGTCATGGATCCGAGGGAGATCGCGATGAGGTATTTGAAGGCTGATTTCTTGATTGATCTTGCCGCCACACTTCCCCTGCCTCAGGCAAGTCCATTGTTTTCGTGCATTCTCGCTGTGAAGTTTCTTCATGTAAGCTTAATTACGTACTTGGGGTTTCGAGGCGAAGGATAAGCTTATAAATGGTGGAGACCCGTTCTCCTAACGTAGTTCTGGATGCAATTAGAGGGTCCTTCTGTTATAATTTTCGGACAGTCTTCTACTTGGATGATGATGATTCAGGTGGGTGATCACATAATTATTCGAAAGCTGAAGTTGCAGGGATGATCTTGCAATAGAAGGTTGAGGAGGTCAAATTGTTCCAAAGGCAAAATTTTAAGGGCCTTGATGTACAAGTTTTCTAAGAGAGAGCAATTCTGTCGTTCCTTGATGTGATTGTGACTACAGTAGCTTGTAAGGTTACGAGCCTCACCGGTGTCGAAGGATGAAAGTCATTTTATATTTTTGGGGGAAATACACCAAATTTTGCTGTAAACATATTTATTCACTAAAATTCTTGATGATTATCAACTTGTCCTCTGTGTATTACCATGGATTGAGAATCTGTTTCTTGTATTGATTTCCTGATGTTTTGAATTGAACATTCTGACTCAGAGTAATTCTGCTAACCATTGGATAATTATAAGTTGAAAACGTTAATGCATTCGGCGAGACACTTGTCACCATGTTAGGACGATCGAGACGGTATATGTACTTCATGAAGATAAGAACATGGTTGATTTTCATATATCGAGAGCATGTAGTAGTTATGATTCATCAGTACGTTGTCTATTCAACATGCAGATTCATGTTAAATGGACAGATTGGGGCAGGGTTCCTTCCATCATCGGAATAAAGGAACTTGTTGTAATACTCATGCTTTTGAAGTGTAGTACAACAACAGACTTTCAAGATGCGCATGTTAGCTCAACCATTTATAGATCAGCAGAAGACTGCAATGTCGCTCTAACAGTCCTCCATTCTTGAAATTTGAATCATAAAGTATATCCATACAATGTTCCTGTCATAGTCACGATTTTATCCCTCCTGCTCATAGTTCAGATTTTTTTGGCCTTGCAGATTGTGAACTGGTTAGTAATTCCAGCAACAAAATCTTCAAGGGCCGACCATGCTAACAACACTCTAGCTCTAATAGTTCTTATCCAATATGTTCCGCGATTGTTTCTCATTTTCCCGTTGAATCAACGGATTGTGAAGACTACTGGGGTCTTTGCTAAGACTGCTTGGGCAGGGGCTGCATACAATTTGATTCTTTACATGCTCGCAAGCCATGTAAGCTCATTACTTGTGAATGCGCTTTGCTCTTCACTTACTCTTAGCGTCACTATATCTTCGTTTTGGCAGTTGCGGTAAATCGGAGACTGCAACTTCAACACTTCTGATCTATTGATTTTCTATATTCATTACACAGGTGATTGGAGCCAGCTGGTATGTTCTATCCATTGGACGCCAGTTTAAATGCTGGAAAACAGAGTGCGACCAGGAACAGATCATAGCTTGCCTTCCAAGTTTTCTGGATTGTAGTAGTTCACAGCAACCTGAGCGCCAGTATTGGTTGAATGTGACTCATGTGCTCTCCAACTGTGATCCTGGGAACGCAGACATCAAATTCAAGTTTGGGATGTTTGCAGATGCATTTACTAATGATGTTGCTTCTTCACCTTTTATTCAGAAGTACCTTTACTGTCTCTGGTGGGGTTTACAAAACTTGAGGTATAGTTATTTTGTTGGATCAGACTTTCCTTTGCCCCAGTAGTTATATTTCCTGCCGTATTTTCAAAGTTTTGATTCCTACAAATAACGGAGAATATAAGATTATACATATTTATGCATCTTAAGTGTGCATATGCCAAAATTTTGAGTGTTCACAATCACTAGATATGTTGCTCTGCTAGCACAAGCAAAACATGCACTAGTATATTTAATGAAATTCACATTGGGTGGTTAACCTAGAGAGGTGAATTACCCATTAAACTCATTGCATAGATAAATGGAAACACATGTCGAGTTGGTGGCCCAAATGCATTTTTGTTCTTCATATTCTTCTCTAAAAATGAACTATCATCAACTCCATTTATTTAACGAAAAGTTACTTGTTTGTTTAAGTACGACCTTATTCTATGCTGCAGTTCATATGGACAGAATCTGGACACCAGCATCTATCTTGGCGAGACATTGTTCGCCATTTTTATATGCATCGCTGGGCTAATATTATTCTCACTCTTAATTGGAAATATGCAGGTAATACTTAGTATACTCTCTCTCTCTCTCTCTCTCTCTCTCTCCCACACACACACACACACACACAAACACACACACATCATATAGACAATTCTTAGTATAGTCCAACTTATCTGATTAATTTTTGAAAAAGAATTGTCCTGTAGATTGTCGCTACTGCTGCTGTTGCTCTGTAATTATTTGTAACGGCAGCAGCATCTTGCGTTTATGTATTAAAAGATTCATGTATGAGAAGCTTAATTTAGAAGTGCTATATATGATAACGGTAGAATCTGATTGTGAGATTTCTGCCTTTTCTTGTTTTGAAAGACGTATCTGCAATCTATGACGGTAAGAGTCGAAGAATGGAGGGTTAAACGAAGAGATATGGAAGAGTGGATGAGACACCGCCAATTGCCTGAAGACCTGCAGGAACGCGTTCGTCAATTCATTCAATATAAATGGCTGGCCACGAGAGGAGTTAAAGAAGAGTCTATTCTGCAATTATTGCCCCTGGATCTCCGCCGTGAAATACAACGGCATCTCTGCCTTGACCTTGTTCGCCGTGTATGTCTGCCTCTATCATCTGTAGTTTAAGTAGTATACCATGCTTAGTAAACGAGAGGTGCGTGCCATTGTTCTCGGCTAGTATCTTAAGGCTTAACTTACTTCACAGTGCCGCCAGTCTAATTAACTCTGACAAGATCCGGTGATCTATCTATCCATCTTATTTTCCGTCCTAGCCAGGTCTCGAGCAAAAAAAGGGGTAATGCACTTACACCCGAGTCATGGTTGTTCCATGGGATGGCAAGGATCGGTCTTCCTTGTAATTGGTTGCAACAAAGAGGATTATTTACCCATTTACTCGGAATTACGATCAGAAGTTTTTATAGAAACTTTCCTCTGTAAATTTGTGGAACAACTAATTAGTTATGAAAATTGCCACCTCAAACAGATGCAAGTGAGTAGCCAATCTATTGTCTATTGATGAATTCCTCAATTTGTATATCATTTTAATGTGCAGGTCCCATTTTTCGCACAAATGGATGATCAGCTTCTCGACGCCATATGCGAACGCCTAGTCTCATCGTTGAGTACCCAAGGCACCTACACCATGCGAGAAGGAGATCCCGTAAATGAGATGCTGTTCATCATTAGAGGACACTTGGAGAGCTCCACCACCAACGGAGGGAGATCTGGCTTCTTCAACTCAATCACGCTTAGACCCGGCGACTTCTGTGGCGAGGAATTGCTTACATGGGCCTTAATGCCGAACCCGAGCCTAAACCTTCCTTCTTCGACTCGGACCGTGCGAGCACTCTCTGAAGTCGAAGGTTTTGCGCTCGGAGCAGAAGACCTCAAGTACGTGGCTAATCAGTTCAAGCGTCTCCACAGCAAGAAACTTCAGCACGCCTTCAGGTACTACTCTCACCAATGGAGGACTTGGGGTGCTTGCTTCATACAAGCTGCTTGGAGAAGGCACGTAAAGAGAAGATTAGTGAAGGAGTTGGCCATGCAAGAGAGCTTCTACTATATGTCGATGGAAGGCCAGGACGGTGATTACGACAGCACAGCGAGCGGCGCTTACGAGGACACGACCGAGAATGCCCATGCCCAACACCTCGGAGCCACCGTCTTGGCCTCGAAATTCGCTGCGAATACGAGGAGAGGAGTCCATCAGAGGGTTCAGATAGTTGATCCCGCCGCCACCAGCTTGAAGATGCCCAAGCTTTTCAAGCCAGACGAGCCTGATTTCTCCCTAGATCACGATGATGTATAGGTAGAATGAACAACACTGACTAAACAAAAATTAATGATTGAAGGGATTGATTGAATTGATAGAGGCTAGACACACCCTTTTCCAAACAGCAATAGATAATGTCACTCCGATTTTTGACCCATCTCCTTTTTAACTTTGGAAAAGCGTTTTCAACTTTTTTCCTTGTGATTACATGTGAAGCTGGGAATATGAAGGAAAACCACATGCTTTTGCATTACTTTTTCATGCATGCATTGCCTTTTTACCTCTTAGCACGCAATGCCAAACTCCTGGTCGTCAAAAAGGCGCATCCGAGACCCACTTTCCTACGGCGGTGGTCAACGGGCCACCCAGATTACGATCCGTGCCCACGGTCGCCAAAAACGACTTTCTTTCTCACTTTTCCTTTTAACATCGAGAACACTACATCATGACATCATCCTATAACAGAACATTTAACTCGGAACAAATTGGTTTTCCAATTCGTTTTGAAGTGCCAAAAGAGAAACACATTCAAATGCGCTATCAAAAAGAAATATAATGGATAGTGCCCTCCCTTTACATCACGTTAAACAATCTTCACAAACCAAAACTACATTGGAAGAAGGTATGGCGGCAACAGCTAAGGTTTTCCAGGAAAGATCCTCACCCTATACATCCATGAAACCGAAGCCTTTAGTAGGAAAAGCGATAGACAGTACCGAATGAATTTTTAAAAGTAATCTAAACTAGGAACTCACTACATGCACTTCCAAGCACCTCATTGTCTCGTTGCATTTACAAGAATCAATCCAAACCAGACTAAGGAGATCGAAAGAAATTGCAATTAAGAAATATGATGAATGTAGATTCTGCTTTCTAAAAGCTCGTGCGCAAATCCGTGAAATCTTTGCTACTGCTGGAATGCATGTGTTCCAGCCTTGTGCTAGGAACCAATCACGAGAGGCTCTCGAGTAATGTTGGTCACGCGAAGCACGGCTTGTGCGTGGATAGGAGAGAGCTTCGATTGACAGAAGTGCTCCCATGAGCCCATCTCGGGAGAATCGGGTACTGTCGTTGATGGTGTGAACTCAAGTGATCTCTCGTAGACAGATTGTAACTCCAAAAGGAGTGTTCGAGCAGCCTCCCTGGACTCAGGAAGCTGGTCACTGAGCTGGGAAGCAGCAGTTTGGATCAAATTGTCAATTCCATACGCTTTTATTCCTTCTATTCCCTGTTCGTATTAGTAACCGCATCATAAGATAACCCAACGTTAAAAAGAGTAAAGCTAGAAAGATGCATAACAATGGGGTAGACTGAGCTATATATTTTGAAAGATCTCACAAGCATCACAGTAGCACTGTCCTTTTTTTACCATTCCAAAAACTTACTGACGAAAAACTTCCGGATAAAACAACCCAAACAAAATCAGCCTGCATGTTCCTAATAACATCACGTTTATTTGCAAAAAAATAATTGACCATCTTAAACCAAATCACATATTCACTTCTGCATAATATGCCTCGTTTCAGTTCCAAAATTTGCTATCAAGATGAGGACAGTGGCCTGGTACATTGATGAACAATACAGAGAAAATCTAGCCAAAACATCCATGGAGACAAATCAACTTCTCTAAGAGAGGAAGAGGTACGACTAACTGGAGTAACAATAGAAACAGCAAATACTGAATGTATGAAGATGTTAGATTTTGAAATCTAACTGTCCATACTGGAAGAAATGAACTAACAGAAAGCCATGCGAGTTCAAACTTCCAAAATAGCGTCCATTCTCATTTTTCAGATATCTCCAATGATGAATTAAGTGCAGTAGTAGCAAAACATATTCAAAGGAGACAAAAATGGAGTATATCTTCGGGACACCGAAAAAAGACCAGTACACTGCTCAAAAGTCCAACGTAGATACGATATCGAAGCATATGGAAAAAGGAGGTAGCTGATTTACCAGTCGTGGAACACTCCTGCTGAAGCACATCGAGGACTTTGCTCGAATACGAGGATTTCTGTTTTTAAGGTAAGGTTGCAACTTTGGCAGTAATAAGGAAGGGGAAACCCACGTGGTCATTGATATTAAAGCTCTCTCAGCTGCCTCGCATACAAATTTTTTATCTTGTGAAGCCTTAAGAAGAAGTTGTACCAGCTGCACGGATAAATAACAAGAAAAGTGGAAGAATAAGAATGCATTGACTAGTGGAACAAAAGGTAAGCAAATTGAGCCACCAAAAACAAATAATGCATCGTACCATAGGATCCAAATAATCAATCAGTTGATCGTTGTAGGCATGGAACATGTCTGCTGATGTCATGATTGCAGTTTTACAGAGTGCACTTCTGGGATTTTTCAGGGACTTTACTAAAAGCGTAATCACATCACCCCTGTGCAGTAGACCAGCAGATGAATGACTAGCCCAATATGGCGGTCAAATAACTATAATAGCAAACAAAGCAGAAAATGAATGTAGTGTTCAGGTCCGCGACACAGTGGGGGGAAAAAGAAGAAAAGAAAGTGAAATCCAAGGTTTCTACAGAGACCATCACATAGACATGAACTACTTACATCATTTCAAGCATTGCCTCCTTGTGAAATAAAGACAACCTTCGTACATTGTTCAGCGTCTCACACACCAGAACCCAGTCTTTAGAATCTAGTCCAGTCAAAATTGTCTGCCAGATGCAAGAGTTACAAAGTGCATTAGCTAAAAATAAACTCTCATAAGACCGCGCTGTCAAAGAGGAAAAATTGAGAGTCTATGACATTACGCCTTAATCACTATGTGAAGTGAAGCAGATCCCAACAGGAAAAGGTGAAGCTCTCGTACCTTAAGAGTCATATCAACATCTTCAAGACCATTCAAGTCCTCGGAGTCAATATATTCTATTTCAACAATTCCAGCCTCATTTCCAGATTTTGCAGCTCCATTTTCACTAGCAGGCGCGGAAACCAGAGGAACATCATTCTTTCTGTGCCATTCTTCAGTATTCTCATTAGCAATCTCGGATATAGGTTTCATTAGATTCCCTTTGTTGGCACTCTCAATCTTTCTGTCAGATCCAGGTAGTGCATTCAGATCTCTGAGGGCTTTTTGTGACATCACCTTTCAAATACGGGCTGAACTCGAAATAGAACTGACATCGACCAGAATAACAAAATAAAGTTAGGCAAGACAACCGCATGTTCAATATACTCTGGCAATATAAGCTATGCTAGTGATCAAACATGATAAAGGAGGAAGCTCATCCAGAACATACAAACGCAGATTCTCTGAATATAACAAAAGTGCAAATGCATTCGTAAATGTATGTCTTCAAGTAACAATTTTTCCTTGACTTACGACTCCGAAGGCCACTTCTACAATAGATTCACTCCACCGTTGAGAGAAAAAAAAATCTCCACTCCAGGACAGTGATCAAAATCGGAAGCGGGCATCGCTAAATTCAACCTGATGAATTGGATTCTATGGTGTGTATTCCGCTGTCATTATCTAAACACAATCGTCATAAGTACTGTTCTCTAAAAATCGTCGTACTCAAAAGTCTAGCTGGGAATCCATCGACGGCCAATAACCACTACTTCAGTGGAGACTAAGAACGACCCCATTTCGCAATTGACCCGCTCCCATGGAATACCATTAACTTCCCCTTCATGATTCCGAAGTTCACGACATGGATGTACCTTTCGAAGGACAACGAAGCGGGCAATAAAAGTTTCTAGCAAGCCTCCGCAACATCACAATATGTAGCCATGGGTGCACCGTACTTACCAAACGGATTGAAAAGCGATAACATCCAAAAGAGACAGAAAAAGCTTCCCTCAGCCCCCGTACGATAACGCGTATACATGGAAAAATCGGCACCGCAATCGTCCGATTACCATCATCAACGACCTAACGAGAGCGACAATATCTACTGCCACACCAATGCGAATAACGAACCCCGATGCAAATCCCACTCCCGCTCCGCCAAAATCATGCTGCGAACACAGCAAAGCAAAGGAAAGCAAAGCACCGCGCCAGATTTCCCCACGCAAAACAAATCAATCGCATCGCCGCGAGCGAACGACCTACCGAGATCTATACACCACCTCCGAAGCACGCAACAACAGCAAAAACAAAAAAAAAAGGGGGGGGAGGACTCGCATCAATTCCGTCCGCAGAAGGACGGCCAAAGCAAGATCTCTCGAGCAACTTGCATTACAGATCTCCTGCCCTCCGCTCGACCTGCTCATTCAAAGCCCGATTCCGCGACTCCCGTCGCCCTCGACTCGACTTCACTCCAACACACACACACAGGAACCGCATCACTCGCCGAAACGAAAAGCGCGGACGCCGCCATTTCCGCGACCACGGTCGGCCGGCGAGCGAGCGAGCGAGCGACAGAGAGAGAGAGAGTTACCGGAGCGGAACTCGAAGGGGGGAGGCGCGATCGATCGGGAGGAACCGCGACGAGGCCGTTCTTCACAGTCGCTCCTCCGTCGCTCTGCAAATAAGAGTACTGACGAGAGAGAGGAGAGAGGAGAGAGGAGAGGCGGAGACTACGCGAAGACGGCGTCGTATCTGGGTCCAGACCCGGGCCGGCAAGCACGGGATATTACCATGTGACCGCTTTAAATTTGGCCGATTTTTTTTTTATATTATTTTCCGAATTAAATTTGCTTTCCTTTTCCCGGCCATTTTCTCCGCTCCCGTCGAAAAAAAAATATAAATATCATTAAATGCCCTCGATCCCCTTGCCTAATCACGGGAGATGCCATTTTCGTTTCCTCCTTTTTTTTTTTTTTTTTTAAGGTAAGAGATACATTGACTTTTCAACACGCAAATTACAAGTGGATCCTCCTTTTTAATTTCCATTTCCGGGAAAAAAATAATAATAATAATAATCGAAAGGAACAAATATTTCTGGGATGATTGCACGAACGGTCCCTAAGCACTGGCTCAACGTGTAATGTTCGTCCCTGAACTTGAGCCAATATGCAATGTTTTCCCTAAACTTTTGATTTGTTCAGTATGGTCCATGAACTTTTAGTAAATGTTCGATATAATTCTAAATTATATAAATATATTAATGTTATCCTTCCATTAATTCAAATTCAATTTGAACATTTACAGTAATTTACGAATCACATTGAGCAAATTAAAAATTCCGCGATGTTATTGCTTATTGAGTTAAAATTCACGGATCGCATTAAACAAATTAAAAGTTTAGGAAATGAATTACATATTTATCCAAATTTTAAGGACCATTTATGTCATTTTCTCGATATATTTTGAATTTGGGATGATGGTTGTCTTGTCCCCTTGTGCTCAAACTTCTTCTGGTTTTCGAACTGACGCTCCAACACCAAGAAAACGAAGTCTCCGAAATGATGCCTTATCATGCGATGGTGATTAGGAATTAATTAATTCGGGCAGGAGGTTGACGCGATGGTAATCGCTAACTAATCCCATTTTTTTTAAATAAAATGTAGTCAATCGTCAATCGCAGCCGTCCGATTTGTAATTAGGTCCTGCTTGAGTTCGATACCCGGCCGGGATTATCTTTACATTATTTTATTATTATATTATGGTTTACCCTAATAACTTGGAAAATTAAATGCTTAATGATTCGGTCGCTTAGGCTTTCGTTGAGGTAGTCTATAAACAGAGTCGTAAAGTGTACCCTCGGAGAAAGTTAATAATTCATGAAAGTACATTCGATTCCATGACTAGATTCGTTTAGAATTGGCATAACGTTACCTTTTCTTTTTTTGTCAAAGTAACATTTCATTCATTTTCACCAAAAATACAAGAAAAAAATAACGCCGTCCAACTACAAATTAGTATAACATTACTTCTTCTTCTTTTTTGTCGAAAGTGTAACGTTATCCCGAGTAAGCTTAGTAATAAACGGTAGATTATGTGGGTAGTTAATGAAGTTTAGTGAACTTTTGCTATCGATTCACGAAGTTGTGATTTTTGTTACCACATAAATTGATTTTTTTCTTTTCAATCGAGGCGCTTTGACCGAAAATAGAGAAATTTTCCCTATGAAATGTTTGATGTCGCTGGCATGCGGATGTCGTCTGTGGCCATCTTGCCGGCATTTCACCGAAAAATTAGGGGCTCCTATCGAAGTACACCAACTATCGGAAAACAAGAAGTAGGTAGTCGGTCGTAGATTAGGAGCTCTCGCCAGCAATGAAGCTTCGGCGTACTCTTAACATGATTAAAATTGAATTTCGATAACACTATTGACGTTCAAGTTCGTGTTGCCTTGAAACTCAAATTAACTTACGTGTTACCTCTTCTATTAACCCGATAGCCCGTCGTGAGTAAGTAATATTAGAATTTCCCGGTGCCGAAAAAAAATTAACAATACTTGGCGTTTGTATTTCCTACTCGGCAGTATGCGATTGGCAAAGTTCGCGTTTTATTAAATATTTATTCCATAAACGATCGAAAATGATAGTTGTGGGATGCCATTCAAACCTTGTAGAATCTCACATGGTCAAATTAAGTCCTACACAATTTGGGAACAATTATATATGTCATTTCGTCCATTGACAATAGGGACAAATGAGAAAGACACGTGCACATTGTTTTGGGCACGTGCATGGGTGTTCTCTGCCGGATAATGACGTAAATGATCTTTCAACTTTGGCCTAACGTGCAATATGATCCATTAACTTTAACTCAATTTGCAATGTAGTTTATGAACTTTAATTTGTTCAATGTAATCTGTCGACTATATGAAAATGTTCAATGTTGTCATTCCATTAATTCACAATTGAAAATAATATTGAACATTTTCATATAGTATAAGAATTAGGTCTCTTCCAAGCAATCAAGACACGACCTTCATCAAACACTGAAAACTTTTATTAGCATTATTGGTTAATGTGTCAGCTTTACTCTATCATACGGAGCAAGTCTAGAGAGAGGGGGAAGCGCCGCCGATTCTTTCGATTTGTGGAACGCAAGGACCCTAATGTCAAATTCAAACTAAGCCAATTATTTTCATCGAATTAGACTATATAAGGGGCGACCAATGCAACTACCTCTCTAACCGCGACCACGAGGATCCCGCACCCGTTACAGAATATTCAGTTTCAGCCATACCTACTCAAGTCAATGCAGCCTCACCAGCTTGCCAGAAGCCATGCCCAAGGCACAATGGCCAGAGGTTCGGTCACGACATGACTCAAACTACAATCTCTTTACCGATAGGCCACTATGCCAAGTGGTTCGATCGCTTGCCAGTTGCTAGGTATGAAGAGAATGCTACCATTTTTTTGGCCCAAGATGTCAAAAGGTCGAAGGGGCCAACATGCCGATCAATCATGGAGAGCAGCAGGATCCAATAATCCCAAGATCTGTTCCCGGCTGGCTCCGCGACACCCACCACCACATGGGGGACTTGGCATCCTGTGTCGGTGCCAACAACGGTGCAACTTGTTCGTGTTCTTGTCTTAGGGACGCTTCGTAGCAAGCTTTGATTACCCATGTCCATCCTCAGGAGCCACAAAAAAAAGAAGAAGGGATGGCACATTCGATTCGTCACGCTCCTCTGTTTTCCCCTGTTTGCCTTCTCTCTTTTTTCTCCTTTTCTTTCTTCTTTGGGTGCTTTAATCAAGCTTTTTGACCCGGACCATTCCGTCATTAGCGTAGATCCACTCTTTCGTTTACGGCTTCAATCATTTTCTTCCATGTTAAAAGATGGGTCGTTCGCGTTTTGCTTTGTGAAACCAGCCTTGCATCACAAGAGTTCAGCGTTTGAGAAACTCCGCGGTGGGTACAAAAGGTACTCAGAAACGCTGGCGTTTCCAGAAATGGCGTGCTCGCTCTCTTGGGCTTTCGCGAGATGGGCCGACGAGCCGGCCCATTCTTTCGAAGTCGGGGTCGATCCTGTCGATGTGGGCTTGGGCCTAGAATCGCTCGAAAAGCCCCTGAACAAATCGAGCCCGATCACATGGACGAAATGATTCCCACAGCGAACTCTTTATTCAACGTTCAAACAGGGAGAGGATCAAAATTGATTTGCTTGGTCCACCACGCTCCTTCTCCACTTTGTCTTTTATCTTGAAGAAATAGGAATATTAGATGCTCTCAAGATTTTTCAAACACACAAGGCAGCTAAGGGAAGAAAACAAAAAAGCATATGTCGCGTCGATTGCAACGACTCGATCGATCGTGTTCTTGAGTGAAACCGACAGGTGACGGTACTTTAAATTGGGATTTTTAGTGAAACCTCGACTCGAAATCCACCATTCGATGAGAGTGAATTCCTATGAAGTGATTTATTATATAAGTTAGACCACCCCCACATCATTACCATATTGAGTGGACATTTATCCGAGAGCTCTTTTTGGAAGGTTCGGCCCCTGTGGAAGGGGTCACTCGTAACAATGTTGCCTTCACGATGTCATTCCAACTGACTTTTGTATCCAAATTTGATAATTCTCGTCCTTGATACTATTGCTTATCCGATGTTTATCTTTCTATCACTTTTTGGAGACCCACAAATCTCTTACAGTGATCGATCCAAGCCCAAATTCATGGTGCTTTCACTTTTATGTCAAGTCAAGATATAATTTATAAAAAAAAAACAATTCGAGCCACTAAAAACTATCAAACCACTGGAGAGTGGCTTCGCACCTGCCACAAATGACGAGAACACAGTGATGCCGCATTTAAACCCATTGAGGCATTGAGGAAGATGGGAGCCTTAATCTACCAATTTGACCTTTATTTAATAATAACATTTGCTAATGTCAATTTCAAAACCGAGGCAGACACAAATTTGATATATATTATTGTTTATGACGTGTGAATGACTTGATCTTGTTTAAGATAATGATTTTTTCGCATATTAAGCATGTAAAAATAGAGGGTTCATGTGACAAACTCATACTGGGAATTTCGAAATCACACGTCACAGACCACTCCAACTTTGCCAGAAACAAAAACTATACATCTTTACAAGAATCTGTTCTTTCCCACTCCTTTCTCTCTCTCGATTTGTACCTCCATCACCATCTCAAAGGAGGGGGATTGGGATGTTACATCTTTCTGACTTTATTCTTGATTTGGAATGGTAACTCAAGACTGTTCATTTTGGGAGCCACCATGACGTGATGACCCACTCAAAGGATAAGAAGAAGGAAGAGTGGCTGAGCTGGGTCTCCAAATTGTTTAGATCCATAATGGGAATATCACCAGGAGATTTTTCTGTGGTTAATTCATGATGGTTCAGATTCATGAACAGTTCGATGATTGCAAAGGCTGTGTGTCTAGAATTTGGCATATGAAATGGTTTCATGGAGTCATATTTGCATATGCATGTCCATACATACTGCGCAAGCACCTCCTGCATTTGCTCTTGAGATTGGGGACTGTGAAGAAGAAGTTGGCTGGCTCACATGGGCAAGAGAGAGCTTATGTTGCAGATATGATTCCACGTGGAACCAGCTAGACATCTGAAGCAACAATCACATGGCACAGGCTTCCAACTTCCATTTCTCTTACAGGATGCTTGATCCAATGCGACAATTGCATCAATAATTGCCCCTTTATAATTCCCTTTGTTCCCAGTCTACTTCTTCTGGAGCTCCCAAGATTCCTGTCTTGCCTTGGATAGAAATTGCAGCGCACGCCAATGATCACGTGTCTGATTGCCAGACTCTCTTACGTGAAATGGGAGGCGCCGTTAAGAGTTTATTCGCAGATTAAATACAATAGGCATCGATGGTTGAATCTCTTTCTGGCGCACTTCTGTATAGATCTTGTTATTTGCTTCAAGGACGAAACGTAGATAGTCAAGATCAAGAGCATTTGACCAAACATTTCAGTTTTATTCATGTCCAAAGTTCCGTTTTCAGGATCCCAGCTATACCGGCAAAGTTTACATTGCATAGTATCATGAGTACATAGTGACTTGAACCATTTACGAGAACGGAGATCCTTAAGACACAGGCGAAAACTAAAACTAGGGCCATGCCCACCATCCCAAAGGCTCGCCTCCCTCTTGATGCGGCTCTTCAGCTGCGGCAAAAATCCCCGAGCAGTAAACCTGACCATCATCGCTTCCATCATCCTCCTCTGACTGCACCCCATCGATGGCCACCAAGCATTCCGGGTAGTCATCGCAATGAAAATACGAATGGCCGCTGTCCACAAGCTGCGGCCCGTCCTCATCCACCACGGCACTCCCGCCGCTCCCGGAACTCAGGCGGTCCTCCACCTTCACCACAAACCCAAGGGATGAATCTCGGGTTTCCTCCTCATGAAGTGCATGGGAACTTTGACCCGAGGCCAGTGCTCCGGCAACATCTTTGGCTGACAGCTTCTCGTTCAGGGAATTGACCTGCAAAGCGCATACAGTATTTGTAATGGGCAATCAAGAGATAGTCGTGGGATTTATCTTATTGTCCTCGTGTCAAAATTGTCAATGTTGCAACAGAAGAAAGCCCGCCATTGCAAGGCATATTCTTGTAGTGACTTTAGAAACTGTCTTTTCTGATCAAGGTGGGGGCTTAAGAACAGATGCTCTGTTTGGAATGCATCTTTTGCCATAGTGATCGAATCAAACGGGTGTAACCCACTACACATTGGTCTCAAATAGTCGAACCCTCGGTGGCATGAAGAATATGATGGCATCCTGATGCCAAAAAGGCCCAAAAAAAGCTGTGCGATCCATGATTTATTCCTTAATCTTTTCATTCTCTCCTTGACTAACATCTACAAGAGATGTACATGATCTTGAACAAGCAAATTCAAGAATCATTTGCCTTACTTTTGCTCTCACGGTTAGAAAAAAAAAAGAACAAAAGTCTGATATAGCAGCGGGCGTTTGATAATGAGGGTTAAGCCAAGTCAACCGTGTGTAGTTTCTCTGAACCAAGCGTACCTCAGATTTGAGCTTCTCATTCTCTTTCTTGATGGAGTCATAATTCGAGAGCAAAGAGTCATAAGACGACTTGAGGACATCATAGTCCCTCTCAAGCTGCTTCGTCTTCCACCGGGCTCGACGGTTCTGGAACCACACAGCCACCTGCCTTGGCTGCATGCCCAGCTTCTTTGCCAGCTGGGTCTTTTTCTCCGGTTCTAATTTGTTCTCTGCTTCAAAGCTCTTCTCCAACAGATGCACCTTAATATTAAGACAAAAGATTTTCAATTAATCTCCGTCAAAAGTCAAAATCATGAGACTTGAAGCTATAGTTACTTGCCAATTACAAAATCCTAAATCTGACAGCTCAATACAACGGGAAAAGAAAATATGAGGAGATCTAAATCCTCTTCTTTATCAATGCTACAGCTCTACTTAGCTAAGAAGACATATCTATTGCTTAGTTGCAGAAAAGAGTCGTTTTTACTGCAGAGGATGAGCATATGCTCTAACAAGAACGAAAAATTTCAGAGGTTCAGTATTTGATCCTTATACATATCACAAGCAACCAACCTGAGGATGTGACCCCACAAATCAATAAGTCCAAATTAATCAGTTGGCTCTACAACACTTGAAGAAGGAAAGTTCAGGGCGAACAAGATTGGGAATCAAGATGTAGCTTGTTTCTTGATACTTCATAAATAGATTCCAACAGATCAGAGCCTGTTCCGAGTTGACGAATTACAGACCTGCTCCGGAGTGAGGCGGCGCTTCTTCTCCGGTGACTGGTCATCGTAATATTCCTCGTTGAAAAGTTCATCAGGATAGCAGAAAATTGATCGCCTCTTCGTGGCCTCCTCAATTCCCATAGCCGATCCCCCTCCTAGCAAAATAAAAATAAAAAAAATCCATCCCTAAACACTTGTCGACGCTCAATTTTTTTCAGAATTAGGCGCTGATGCAGGGGAAGGAAAAAAAAATTTCAACTTTTGAGTTTCACAGTTCATGTAATTTGGCATTTTGTATGAACTCAAATGATTGTACCCCTGAATTCTCCATCGTGCCCGGTTTCCGGAAAGAGTATGACGAAAATTTAAACGACAAAAATTCAAAACCTTCCACCCGAAATCATTTGATTTGGGTTCTTTGAGATTCATTGAATTCCAATCCCACCAACATAGTCCAAGCAGACTATAAGAACAGCTCAAAATATCATGACAGCTTATCAACGCCGGGCTAAGCAAATTAGATCAGTTTTCGTCTGCATATCAAATCACTCGCTCCGTTCAGGTAATATCAACAGTCAGTCAACTTAGCTACAATCCATATATACTCACGCAGAGACAGAGAGAGAGAGAGATAAAGAGAAGGGGGATGATCACCTCCAAAAAGCGAATCTCTGCTCCCAAGGAACAGCATGTTGCCCTGGCACGCGGATTGATCAAAGAGAAATCGTCCGGACTCCATAGAATTCATTCTCTCGATCTCTCTATGCTTTCGCCCGCGTCGCAAATCTCCGGAGAACCGATCCTCCGGCGTAACACGAGACCGCTTAGCCGCGCGCGGCCGTACTATAGATAGCAGTACTAGTAGTAAACACGAGCTAGGGATGTCGCGGAAATTAGAAGAGCATGAGCTTGTGGCGGAAGAAGCTGGTGCTCCAGAGCAACCTCGCCGGAGTATCCAACGGGCATATGCAAAATCCCATCACGCCACTCCCGACGACGGCCTTTCCCAGCTCCTCCCCTCCCGAAATCCCGAGACTCCAGCGGCGACGGAGGCGGCGGAGGTCACAAGCACGAGACCTCCATGGGGAACCGATCGATCGGTCGGAGCGAGACAGTTCGTCCGGCGGAGCGGCGGAGGTACGGAGTCGCCGGAGTTTCGAGGGGCGGAAGACGGAGGAGTTTCTCAGGCGTTTCTTTTCTCGCAACTAAAGTTTAAAGAGCTGAGATGAGCGGGTTTTATAGGAGAAGCTCTCCAGGCGAATTGCCCAAAATGCCCTTGTTGCGCCTTCTTTTCCCTTTTTTTTTTTGGGGAATCTCCGGTTTTTCTTTTTTCTTCTTTTTCGAAGTTTATATGGAGCCTCCTCCCGAATACACTCACAATCTTAATAAAGTGTGTCAACTACGCCGAGTATTATATGGATTGAAACAGGCTCCTCGTGAATAGTATTCCAAGTTCAGCTCCATCATGGAATGCTTTGGACTTATATCTAGTCCGTGTAACAATGCTCTCTTTGTTCAACGAACATTTTGTGGATAAATTTTGTTACTCTTACATGTAGATGACATGATTATCAATGACGATGATTATAACGGCATTACAAAACTACAACAGTATTTGAGTCAATTGTTTGAAATGAAAGTTCTCGGACGACTCAGTTATTTTCTAGGCTTGGAGATTGCTTCAGATTCTTCTGGCTACTAATTTTTCAAGCAAAATATGCCACTGATCTTCTTTCTCAGGCCGGACTTACGAATGACGAGATTGCTACGACTCCTATCGAGACTAATGCCAAATTTGATGATAAAGATGTGACTCCTCTTCTAAATCCTACACTTTATTGACAACTGGTTGACAATTTTGTATACATCACTGTTACTCATCATGACATCGCCTATATTGTTCACATCATAAGTCAGTTCATGGCCGCGCCGCGAATGACTCATTTTGCTGCCGTTTTTCGAATTCTTTGCTAGGTCAAGGATACCTTATTTCCTGGTCTTCACTATTCTACAAACTCAAACTTAGAGTTGATGGCTTATTATGATGTTGACTAGGATCGTTGCTATGCTACATGCTACTATTTCTTCTTAGTTCTCTTATTTCAGGGGCGGAGTAAGACACAAACTATTGTCGCTCAATAGCAATATCGTGCTTCTTTTGATACAACATCAGAATTGCTATGGTTGCGATGATTGTTAGAAGATAGAGGAGTCCGACATAATGGTGGGACGATCATTTATTGCGATTTTGTGATGGTTGTTAGAAGACATAGGAGTCCGTCATAATGGTGGAGCGGTCATTTATTGTAATAACCGGAGTTCTTTTGAAATAGCACATAATGTTGTTTTCTATGAGCGAACCAAGCATATTAAAATAAATTATTGTTTCATACGCTCTCACGTGCTTCGTGGTATTGTTTGTCTTGTCCAACTTCATTGGTTCATCTAATGTTTTCACTAAGGCATATTCAGTTGGACGTTTTTAAGATTTTTTCTCCAAATTTCAGTTGACTTCTTCTGCGTCACCTTGAATTTGAGGGGATGTTAAAGATATAATTATCTTTCTTGATAGATTTTAATTGATTGCATTTGATATTATAATATTTTATTACTTTAGATAATTATCTAAAATGGCCTATAAATAGGCTCATGTATCATTAGTATTATTTATACTGAAATATACAGAAATTCCTTTTCCGCTTAAATCGTTAATTATAAGAATTATTTAAACATTAAAATTATAAACGACCATAAATTTTAAAGATTTGGGGTTTTTAATACAATGGAACTCAAAGTTTCTATTGCTCTACGTTATGGCTACGAAAAACAAAATAAGACAAGCTAAATTCATCTTCATATGCACTGAATCTATATATTACAAACTAAAAAGCGACCTTTGAATTATTAATGCAAATTACTTAATGTTAGATCCCATAGTAATTAGATGTGTGTGTGGTTTTGCACTAGGAAATAGGAGAAAGGAGAACCAATTGGAAGTAAGAAAAGTGGAGGAGGATGAGGGGAAGGTCGTGAAAGTAAGATGTCCAATGTAGCAATCAAGTTAAATGCCCAATGTAATTTTCGTATTTTTTTTTTCAGTTATTCGACGTGCAATGAAATTCTTACATCATTTAGTTTAATCCCTAGAGGTAACCCTGACCGGGAGGTTCAGATATATAGCTCTTCTGCTAATTTTTCTATGATCACTTTTATTACATTCAAATGTTGATACTGATAGCTCAATTGACAACTTATTTGTTGGGTACGATACTTCATAAATATCCAAATTACATTCTTGATTGATAATCCAAGACCGCGAACTCAGAGGCCCGGCTACCTGGAGATCATGGATTATCTCGCAAAGAACTGGTGAAATTCATTTCTAACTCCATAATCTCAAGTAATCGGAATCTGTTTTGTTTTTTCTCCTATTTGAATATTCTCCTTTTAAAAATCCAATTCTGATAATAATAATAAAAAAAACCATTTTCTTTTCGTTTTGTTTTTTCAGTGGAGGGTGTTTGGTCAATTTGCTCCGGGTGCATTTTGTAATTGTGCTTCGGGGGGTTTTGTTAAGCAATATTAAAGCTGAAGATTGATCGGTAGGGCTAACGATCACGGGCCGTTGGATTTCGCATCCAAACTCTCATCGACGAACGGTCGCAGATGGGGGGCGGAGAAGTTTGTGCCATCCATGACCGTGGAATAGGAATAGGACAGTCCCCATGCTCCGCGGTCGGAGCTCTGTTGGATCGACTTTTGGTCAACTCTTTGAGTAGTAGCGAAAAAAAATAAATAAACAAATAAAGTAACACGAAGAAAAGAAAATACGAAAGATCAATGGGGTTGCATTGCAAGGATCACGATCGAATGTATTTTATTATGATTAGATCAATTCACCTCATTTCGAAAGTTAATATCGAATCCGGTTTATCTTCACTTTGATAATTATTGAGAATATCACGATTCCCTTCCCATGGAACATAATCAGAAATGTGGAGGTTCAAATTGAAAAGAAAGGGAAGGTTATCGGTGCTTCGATATTTGATTGCGATATAGTGTACCCGAATGTAAAATGAAGTCGACTGGTTTGAATTTACACTAGAAATTCTAAACTATGTGCACTATGACATATTTACCCAAATTTTTTTTGTGACATAAACAACTATAAATTTGTACCCGTATGACGTATTAACCTTCCGTCAACTGTAAGATAATTTTCCATAAAAGATGATTTTGTTCTTATTCTACTTAAGTCACGTGGGCGCAATGTTAACACCATTTAAGGAAAATTCAATCAATTAAAATTCAGAATGTTTCTTTGTTTATTTAAATAGCATGTGTCTTTAGGGCACCATTTAACGAAATTTTTATGTTCTAGTCCAAAGCAAAAACCACGTTGACACGGTTAACAAGCAAGTTTCAACCTCACTTGATTTTAAGATTAGGACTTCGTTTCTTTCCTGAAAAATAAACGATTTGGAAAATACTTAAAAATGATCACTTTAAATAATTAGTTAATGAAAAATATTATTATCACCAATAATTTATGTCTAAACACTTTCGTGGACAATGAAAATATTTTTCGTTTTTAGAAAGATACAAATAATTATTTTTAAAAAATTAATTTTCAAATCATGCATTTTTCGTGAAACAAATGAAGGCTAAGAGAAACTCTCGATTGCTTTAGATGGTCTAAACGATTAAAAAATGCAGTTGTTTTTTGAAGGTTGACTTGCCCATAAATACAAAAGTCAACCTTTAAAAATTAAGAAAAAATTAATCAACCAAGAAAAACCTTTAAAAATATTAAAACCCCATTTATTTTTTTTGGTCATTTAAAAAAACCCTTTTATTCACCGCATCAAAAATTAGAAACAAAACTATATATTTACTTGCTAATAAAATAAAGCCATAAAGGTAGTGCCCTTATGTACGAATCCACGATCCATCCATTTTCCTACCCCATCGCCTGCGCCTAATGTGAGACAGCAAAGCTAGGGAATCACAATATATTATCATTAACACACTAATTATATCAACTAAGGCTCCATTCATTTCGCGAAAAATAAATAAATAAATAATTATTTCAAAAAACGATCAAGTGACCGCTTGAAATAATTAGTCAATAAAAAATATTTTCATTATCGACAATAATTTATGTCCAAACATTTTCGAGAAGATGAAAATGCTATTATAAGTGATCATTTTTAGAAAAATATTTTCCAAATCATTCATTTCTCGTGAAATAAACGGAGTTTAACTACCTTTTAATTTTTTTAATTAAAAGGAGAACACCTTTAAACCGTTATATATTATATATATGATCCCACTCAATCATTTTGTGTTTTTTTTTTTCTGGGTTACAGATCAGTGCAAGAAAATCCAAAACCATCTGGAATTGTCTTTTTCAGCTTTAGCGCTCCAACTACAAGCAATAATAGCCCGACAATCTTGTGGACGTTCACATGAACAAAATTCAATAAAAAAAAAGGCTAAGATATTTTTTTTTTAAAAAAAGAGCAAGAAAATAGAATAAAACAATTCGAGTCGACACAGCTGTTGTGCGATTTGAAGATTTGGAATATTATTGACCTGTGAATAAGATGTCACCAAAGGAAGAGATGATTGGCGATTGGAGCGACTCCGAAAGCAACGGGAGCTGTTCACGCAAATTAATAAATAAAATAAAGAGAAATTTATATGGTAGAATAACAATAAATAAGACGAAATCATTGGTTTATTACCCAAAAAAGAACAGCAGAAGAATAATTTGGGCAGTGTACTGCACACAAGCTTTGATCAATGTTCAATGGTACTACTAATGAGAACCGCGTAGCTATGGGGCCCAAGGAATCGAAATTTTTCTCATGTCTGATGTTGGTATAATTCATTTTAATTCGATTGGGTCCTCGAATTATTATGATATATCGGTTCGACATGGAAAATTTTTTTTTGGACTAGTCGAAAAGCACGAAAAATCGAGGTCATGTAATTTGGAGCGTTGAGCTTTATACATGTATGTACGTCGTTTGGAAAGGCTAATGAATGCTATTAAAAAAGGGCACTCGACTCCACATTGTAATTACATCCCATGTAAAAACCGTGAAAATCTTGTTGTAAAGATTTCGTGCATTCTTTCGTGAGACCGAGAGATTATTTCATAAATAATTATCAAAGTTGAATTGTGAGATTCAACAGCGTTCGGGTGACTCGA